AATATTATATTAACCCTTTCGTTACTAGTGACCTATTACATATATATATAATAAATATAATTATTTATAGGTGCACGGATTTATAGGAAAAAGAGCGTTTTGTCAATTAAGTATATTTTTATGTCACAAATACAAATGTTTACGTAAAGTAACAGCCATACGTACTTATGAGACATTGACACTTTACGGAGAAGAAATGGATTTATCCGAGGAAGACTTAGCAAGTATATTAACAGAATTAAATGGCACAGATTGGGAACGACCGGTAACAGAATTAAGGCCTATAAGAAATCATTTGTGCGAATTAATGAAAGTGCCTGCACCAGTTTTACAGGCTAAATTAACTAATTAATAGTAATTACATTGATATAAAAATACTAATACTCAGGTGAACACTTATTTTCTATTATACATATTACGATTTGACATTACACACGCATACACACATTTCAATGTAAATTAAATAATTAATTTGAGTAATGATCTAATCGTCAATACCAAATTACTTTACACAGATCTCAATACAGGCTTAAAAAATAAAACATTCCTGTTTTGCAAGACACTAAAATAGTGAAATACATTTTCATTCATCAACCGTAAGGAACTTTTTTCTTTCTTTCTTTTTTTTTTTTCACAGCTATAATTTGTATTCATAATTCGCTAACAATCATTTTTGCTATACAATTCAAATGTTTCATTATTAAATTTTTCAATATCGATAGTAAGATTATTTAATACGTAATGTTGTAACAATTTAGCCCCACATTTTTCTAAGTTCCATTGATATACCCAAAAATTATTTTTATTCACTTGACTTGATAACAAATCTATCGGTAAAGGACAATCGTAATGTTTTACTGTAATTATATTTGTTTCATTATTTGTTTGAGTATTATGTATTTGTTTGCAAACGAAACATTCAAAATCTTCAACGTAATAACCAAAATGATGCATTTCTTTGGCAGGTATTTTTGTCAATACATTTAATAATCGATTATTCGTTAATCTTTCTTCCTCTTTTCCAATTTTATGAATTAAATATCTTTCATATTCTATATCATTATTTAATAGATGTAACAAAAAGTCAGCTAATTCTTTAGGTTTATCAAAATCTAATACTGAAATCGCAGACATATTATTTGGTAACCAGTCCTAAAAATTAAAAATACAAATATATAAAAATTCATTATAATTAATTAATATATATTCAAATAAAATTTACCTTGAACGTAGGAGATCCATAATAAATAGGTACAGAACCCACAACGAGCGGTCTCCAAAGTTTTTCCGTAATGTAATCATTGCAAACTGCATTCTCGAAAGCTAATGTAAATTTATATTTTGCCACAAACGATAAAAACTCATCGGTATTTAATTTATTCAAATAATTACTTTTCAATCTGGATAATATTAATGAAATATTAGTACGATATTAAATGTTGTATGTATACAGTGAATGATCGGTTAATGAATATAATCTATTCAAAGACAATGTTTGCTACTCAAATTATTTGTTAATCAATCATCCACTGTACTATTTGTTTTCTTATCAATTTTAACACGACGCTAAATTATAATAATATTAAACAAATATACCTTTCGTCCAGACGAGCATTATTTATACACAAACCATAAGAATCTATTTTGATGTATTTCATTAATTCTAAAATATAAGAATCTCTATTAGTGGCGGTATTACAATCTGATTGAATATACAATAACGGTGCTAAATTTTCTTTTTCCATCAAAATTGTTTTTTCTTTAGACGATACAAAATATTTCTTTCCTAGAATTTCATATAAATGTGTGTTTAAATAAATGCATGTATTTTTAATTTAATATACAGAATGTCTGAGTTTTTTCATTGTTCAAACTGTGTTAACGTATTCTAAATTTTGAATAAAGGTTTAAATAATGTGATTACGTTTATATATACCATTTGATCAAGGAAATCTTAGACACCCTGTATATGTCTTTCATATATTAATATAAAATATTTTGATAATTACCTAAGAGTTCTTCTTTATTGGGTAAATCAATGGAATAAAGTGGTACATTACTGAATCTACTGAACGTCGAGGAATAATTAAAAAGATTTAATGCTTTTTGGTGAACGAACATAGGATTATTTCTAGGAGATTCTTCATGCATCAATCCCCATTGAACAAATGGGGATCTCCAATTTGGTAAATCGTTAATTTGAAAATTACTTCCGTAGAATAAAATTGCCTATAGAAATATATATATAT